CGATCTTTTTTTTTTTTTTTTTTTTTAATTTTTTTTTTTTTTTTTAGATTCCATAAATTGTGAAAAAAATTGAAAAACATCATGAATTATTTTTGATATTAGTTATATATATGAATATATTTGCGAGGGTGGGAAAGATGAGAGGTATTCAGTTTGTGTGCAGTTGTTAATTTTAGAACAATAATTATCACATTGTTATTATTTGAATTAAACTAAATAATAACAAAGATATTTCATTTTTAGTTTTTTTTAAAAAACTATTTATTTTTTTTTTTATTTATTTTTTTTTTTATTTAAAAATATCTTTTTCAATGTATTTTTTACGCTTTTGGTATTGGTTTTTTTCAAATAAAATATTTGATTGTGTGTATTTTTGCAAAAGAAAAAATTGAAAAAAAATTGAAAAATACGACACAACCAGCAAAAATAACATCAACAAATGTGTCTTTTATTATAATGTATGAGTTAAAAAAAAAAAACAGTTAAAAGGTTTGTTGGTGTTAAAAATAATTTTATTTAAATCGAAATTAAGTTGTAAAAAACAATTATATATATAATTGGTATGCAAATATGATAAAATTGAAAGTGGGTTGTTTTGAATTGGTAAATAAGGAATTAATATATATTTTATAACTAATTATAACATCTTGGTAAGATAATTAATTGGTTATAAGTTGATATTGACATTGATTACCTTTATTGTCAATAACTTTCCTTTTCCAATTGTTGATTACTCTAAAGTTCTTGTCTACATATGAACACAAATAGAAACAATAATTTATTTTTGGTTTATAAATTGATCTTGGTTCAGAAATAATGGTTGTAAATAGAATTGTTATGTAAAAATAATTTCTAAAAAAGTGATGGTATTGGTTATGGTGTGTATTATAATAAATTGAATTTTATTTTATTACTATCTAATTAAAATAATATTATTTTAATTTTTTTTTTTTTATCCATTATGAATCTTATAAAATTTTTTTTTTTTTAAAAAATATAATAATAAATATAGTTATTTTAAAAACATATAGACTTTATATTATGCATTTTTTAAAAACCCACTAACACACTCACAATGTGGTTGAACACACAATAAAAGAAAGAAAAAAATAATATATATTCATTAGAGCTTTTTATGATATATATATCACACACATACACACAAAAAAAAAATAATTAAAATTAATTAAATCTATTTTTTTTTTTTAATTGTTTTTTTTATCATATTATTGTTTTTTTTTTTATTTTTTATTTTTTAGGGTTTATTTTATTAGTTTATATATCAATTAATAATTTTTTTATTATTTATTTATTTATTTATTTATTTTTATTTATTTATTATTTGTTTTTTTTTTTTAGGGTTTTTATATATAGTTAAATTTTTTTTATTGTTTTTTATTAATAAAAAGAAAAAATGAGTAAGCAGAACAGCTCAAATACAAATGGGGGCAATAATAAACAGTTACAACATAGTAATAGTGGGTTTTTAAATACAAGTGGTTCACCATTTATAAAATCATCAAGTACTAGTACTATTTCACCATTTTTGGTTTCAAAACAATCACCACCCTCATCACCATTGGGAATTCATAGATTTAATTCACATACTTCCTCGTCAATCAACACTCCAAATAGTTGTGCAAGTAATAGAACCCCACCTTTAGATAACAGTAATTTTAAAGAAAAAATACAACAATTGGGATGGATGGATAGCCCAACATTAAGTGGGAATGGAAGAATGAGATCAAATTCAGTTGCAATCGGTTCACCAGGTTCAACAACTTTCTTTCAATACCAATTAGAAGAGACTTCGAAAAAATTAGAGGAGAAAGAAAAAGATGCAGCTTTGGCTGCTGAAATCGGTAAGATTTTACTTGAAAGAAACCAAGAATTGGAAGAACAAATAGGTTCATTGCTAGACAACGAAAAAAAGTATTTAGATTGTTTGTCAGAATATGAATTTTTGAAAAATGTAAATATCTTAAATTAATTGCTAAAAAAATTATTATAAAAAAGACACTAATCCCTCCTTTTTTTTTTAATTTTTTTTAAATTTTTTTAATTTCATTGGTTTTTAAATTTCATTTATTTTTTATTTTTTTTTTTTAGCAAAATGAAATTTTAAATGACAATTTAAAAGAAGCTACAAATGAAAATGAAATATTAATAGAAAAGTTAAAGCAAGAGGAAGAAATGGTTAGTGAAAAATCAAAAAAGTTGTATATTTCTCAAAGATCATCACCAAATAAAAACCAACCCGATATTGACAGATTAAACCAAGAGTTGGAAGAATATAGAATGATTTCACAATCAAAAGATAAAATTATTTCAAAAATTAAAGGTGAAAAAGGTGACCTCGAGCAAAGATTGGAAAACTTAAACAGCGAAAATGTTCTCTATCAAAACTATATGGATGAAATCGATAAGTTAAAAAAGAAGAATAGAGAGCTTAGAGCCAAATACAAAGACCTTAAATCATTTTCACAGCTTAATATTAAAAAATCAATATTGGAAGATTTCAATTTGTTAAAAGAGAACTGTCAAGTATCTTTCGATAGTATTATTACCTGTTGCACAAAAATCAAATCTTTTCACAACTATCAGAATAATGATGATGAATTAAAGCTATTAAATTTTACAAAGGGTTATATAAATCAGTTGCAAGTTAAAGATAATATTTATAGTGATATTAATAATGATAATTACCATAATAATGAAAATAACCACAATAATGACAATAACTATAATAACAACCCAAACAATATCGTTTCTGGAGAGGGATTGGGTGAACCAATTATAATTCAATTAATTTCTAAAGTAAAGGATCTAAATTCAAAATATCAAAAAAAACCATTTAATATCGAAAATTCCAATAATGTTGAAGGGGGTAGTATTACAGATGATATTTCAAATAACCAGGATATCCATTTGGCCTCGTCATGTGTGTTAAAAACTTCATCAAATGTTTCTTTTGAAGAGCATAAGGACTCATTAATTATTGAAACGTCCAAAGATAGTTTGCTAAGATCATCTCTTTTAATTGTAAGTATTTTTAAACCTATAAAAATATTAACAATCTTTTTTACCGAAACAATACTAATTTATTATTTATTATTTAATAGCTTATATCAACATATTTATTGGGTATTATAAATGAAATTAATGACTCATTGGTTAAAGAAAAGCAAACAATTAACGAGTTATTAGAAGATATATCAGAGTTAAATGAAAAGTGTCAAAATATTAATAAGGTCAATTTAAAATTAGAAGAAAAATTAGAAGAATCAAATAAGAATTTACAAGAAACTGTAGAGACATTAAATAAGGTTCAACAAAGAGTACTCGTTTTGGAGGAAGAAAAAGAACAAGAAAATACTTTAAAAAAAAATGAAACTGAAGAAAATATAAAGAAATTAACATCAAAACTAAAGAGTGATTTGCTTAATAATAAAAAACAAATGGATGTCAATATTCAAGGGTTGTCGCTTGTTATTCAGAGTTCTTTCCAAGAAATCGAGAAACTGGAAAAGCAAAATAGTTTATTGGCTGATGAAAATACTCAGCTTCATATTCAAATGGAGGATATTGTATCAATCAAAGATAATGATATTAGCTTTATTAAAGATCAGTGTTCAAAATTAGAAAATAAAATCAAAATTGAAACAAATAATTCGTTTGCATTAAAAGAAAATAGTTCAAGATTATCAATGGAGTTAGAAACAATTAAAAAGAGTGCCAATGAATCCGAAAATCATCTTCAATCCATCATAAATCAAAAAAATAGTGAAATAAACGTATTAGAAAACAAGATCAACGAAATGACTAATCAAATTAATAAACTAAACGAAGATATCCAAACAAGCTCCTCACACGCCATCGAAGTTTTGAATGAACAAACCAATTTGGTAACATGTCTTAGGGAAGAGTTAAATAACAATGAAACAAATAATTTAAAGAAAGATGAAATGATCCAAAATTTAGAGCAATTAAAGAATCAATATCAAAGTGATGTCGAGGGTTTACAAAATGATTTTAAAGATTTAAAACAAGTGATCAGTAAATTAGAAAAGGAAAAAGAAGAAACCACAAAAGAACGTTGTAATCTTATAAAAGAAAATCAGATACTATTAGAACAGCTACAAATGGAAAGAGAAAAAGAGTGCGAAAAATGTAAAGACTATTCAAATAAATCTTTAAGTGATACCGAGAAATTTGAATTATTACAAAAAGATAAACAAAGGTTAGAACAAGAAAATCAAATTGCAAAAGAGGAGGCCACTTCTACTAGCAATGAGCTCTTAACAGTCAAAGATACATTGCAATTAAACACTAACCAGATTTTACAACTAAATGAACAAATTCAAAAATATCAAGAAAATGAAAAATTACTATCGGCTACTATAGAAATAGAGAAAAAAGAAAAGGTGCAGCTAAAAGAAGAAATCGAGTCCATTAATCAACACTATCAGGGTGAAATAAAATCTCTTGAAGAAAAGAATAATGAAATTATCAACGATTTTAATCAAAAAATGGAAAGTGCAAACAACGATATTGAAGTAAACCTAAATCAATTAATCAATTCAAAAAACCAATTGGTAGAACAAATAAATATTTTACAAAAAGAAAAAAATCAAATCGAATATGAACTAAATGAAAAGAATATAAAAGAAAAGGTTATGAAGTCTGATAACGAAGTGTTAAAAGATAAAGTTAAAGAAATGGACTCACTATTGCAAAAAGAACGTCAACAATTTGAAGAGAGGATGAAAGAGGTTGAAATTCAAAATGAAAATTTACTTAAATCAGTAAGAAATAACTTAAATTTGAAACTATCTCAAGCTTTATTGGAGGAGCATGAAAAATTAGAAAAAGAAAAGATGGAAATTTTAGAAAAAGAAAAACTAGAGCATGGTCAATTAGAAAAAGAAAGATTGGAAAAAATTAAATTAGAAGAGCAATTAGAAAGTGAAAAAAAAGAAAAAGAAAGATTAGAAAAAGAAATAAAAGAAAGAGAGAAACTAGAACAAGATAGAATGGAAAAAGAGAAATTAGAAAAGAAACAATCGGAAAAAGAAATATTAGAATCAAACTCCCACGACTGCTCACAATTTCAAATTGATGAAAAAGATGTATCGATTTTGGTTTATATTAGCTCTATCTTAAAAAGAGAGGTCAAAAGTGAATGTAAGAAATGTACTTTAGAACTATTCTCTGATGGTCTATTATATTCAGAAATTGTTAATACCTTTATCCCAGAATCAATTGATAAAAGAGCATTGTACAAAAACTGTTCAAATAATTCAGAAAAGATAGGTAATATCAAAGTTTCCCTAAATTCAATTAAAGTGCTAGGTGGTAACCAAAATTTCAATGCCGAAAAAATTATGAATAATTACGAAGAGCTATATAGATTTTTAATTGAAATTTTCTATATAGGAAATGTTAGTAGAATTAATTTGCAGTCCCATCCAGAATTGGTTTATTTATGGAAACATAACCCAGAGCATGGCATTAGTCAATCAAAGAGAGAGGAAAGCTGGGATAGTTTTGTAGCACTAGAAGAAACATGTTTATTAAGAAGATGGGTTAATCATTTCCTCAAAATAGATAATAAAGAACTTATTTATAATTTTTCACAAGATTTTGCAAACAATGGAAAAACAATATTAGCATGTTTAATGAAGCATATCTATTCAGTAGATCAACAACACACTCAGGATTTAGATTCAATACTAAAATATATAGCAGACCAACTATTACCAAAACAACTATTTGTATTTAAAGATGATATTACAAAAGGTAATCAAGAAAAAATAATTATCCTTTTAGCCCAACTATTGGACCGTAACTCTGCCATTTCTTTATCAAAGAGCGAAATCCCAATACGTCATGACTCACCAGATATTGCCCCATCAAGTGAAGAAAAAGCATGCAAAGGTTGGCTTAAAACAATTGATATTAGTACATCATCATTTGACGATTTTGCAGACGGTTTATTATTATTAAAAGCATTAGATAAGGTTCAGCCAGGTATCGTTAATTGGAAATTAGTCAATATGAATCCCACCAATACTTTTTCAATGACAGAAAATTGCAATTATTGTGTTAAATTGGGTAAAGATAAATTAAAATTCTCTTTGGTTAGTATTGCAGGTAGAGATTTTGTAGATGGTAGTAAGAAATTCCTTTTATCGTTTGTTTGGCAAATGATGAGAATTAGTGTACTTAAAAGAGCCATACACATTAGAAGCAACAGTAGTGGTAACCTAAATCAAGAACTAACTGAATCAGATATTATCTCAAAAATAAACAAAATGGTAACAAAAGCTGGCAAATCTAGTCAAATAAAGTCATTTTCTGACCCATCATTAAAAGACGGTAAATTTTTACTAGATCTCTTGGACTCAATCCAACCAGGTTGTATCAACTATGCAGAAATAAAGTTTAAAGAAAACTCAGAATCTTACAAATCAAATGCTCAATATGTAATCACCATTGCAAGAAGATTAGGTTGCACAGCAATAATTTTTTGGGAAGATATTGTCGAAGTAAAAGGAAATATGATTATGACATTTATTTGTGACTTAATAAATCTAATAAAAACAATTGATTAAAAAATATAAAATAAAAAAAATAAAAAAAAATAAAATATGCAACCTATTTGATTTTACTATTATAAATAATTAATTTTTTTAACTTTATTATTTACTATTTTATATTATATTTTTTATTTATAGCCTTTATTTATATTTATTATTATTTTTTTGCAAATAATAAAGGGAATTCATCTGGTGAATCAATATTTTTATGAGTTTGTATGGCTTCTAAAAAGCCTAATTGTCTTTTGATTTTTTGACCTGCTGAATTTTTTAATTGCTCTTCTCTATCCTTCTTTTCTTGTTCAATTCTTTGAGCCTCTCTTTCCATTTCTAATTGTTTCTCTTTTCTAGAGATTTCCCTTAGCTCAAGGGCCCTTTCTAAATCTTTTGCCCTTTCAAGTTCTTTATCTCTTTGAATTTTTTGTTCTTTTTTCTTTTTATTAAATCTTGCATCTTTTCTTTTTTTAATATCTTTATGGAAATGTTGAAGGGTTTCTTTTGAAACAACTGAACTAAGATCAATTTCTGCAAATGTGATTCCAGTGGTAAGTGCCAAAACATTGAATGATTTATACTGTTTTCTAGATTGTTCTGTAACTTGATAATCCTCAAACTCATAAACCTTGGCTGTAATTTTATCTGGTAATGTATTGGCCTTTTTATATTCATAATCTAAAATTTTCATACATAATGGGTGTAAATAAATCTTTTGGCCATCCTCTGATTGATATAAATAAAACAATCCATTTGATGGTTGATTTTCGTATGAAAATGACTCTAGGCTTAATTCAGCACCTGGTACACTATTGGTGGATGATAGTGTTGATAATGGTACTTTAATATTATTACTATTATTAATGTTGATGTTACTATTACTTTCATTACTATTGATACTATCATTATTTCTATTATTATTAGATAAATTTGTATTTGAATTATTTAAACTACTATTTTCTTCATCATCTGAATTTTCATCTGGAGTTGAACAATCCTGCTCTGTTGAATTAAAATACTCTTCCAAAGCCATTCTAATTTCAAAATTATTACTGCACTGATAACTGTCAAAATCTTTTTTGTTTGAACTCTTTATTGGTATTGTAATAAAAGTTGAATTTTCAGAGGATCTGGTTTCAAGTAATTTTTTAAATGACTCCTGTCTATCTTGGATACCTAATAAAGCCTCATTTAAAAACTTGAGTAATTCTGAATCACATTCACTGATGGCGGCCTCCCTACTACGAATAACTTGGTTGGTTTCTGCGTCAACAATTTCATTGATATTTTTGATAATTGAAAATTTTGAGAATAAGCAACTCTTTTCACCATTTAGCGGGAATGAAATCTTTTCGGGAATAGGTTCAGTCGAAAGGAATGGTACAGTTGAACCCTCTTGATATTTGACCAATTGCAATGAAATTTCGTCACCATCTTTATACTTTTTGGTTTTCTTAATTTCTAAACTCTTTAAATCCTCCTTTGATTCGATTGGTAATAAACAAAGTGGGCATTTTGTGGTATGAAATAATGATCTTAAAATACATGTATAGCACATGATATGACCACACTTTGTAATCTTTGGGATAACTGGATTATCTAAACAGATTGGACATTGAAACTGAGTTTCCTCATGTGTTAAATATACGACCTGCTCAACTTTGTTCCATGAAACAATACTATCGACCTCTCTAAGTGCATTTGAATAATTCCCAAAGGGGTTGATTTTAAATAAATAACTAATTAAATATTAACAATAATTAATAATTAATATCCTTATTATTTATTTTAAAATAAAACTATTTTATCTATAATATAATTATTATCTTACTTTGCTTGTAAAAATGTAGTATCTTGAATTGGTTTTTTATAATTGTTTTTATTTCTATTGTTATTATGATTATTATGATTATGATTATGATTATGACTATGATTATGATTATTTGATGATGAATTACCACGATAGTTATTTCTGGGTGGACGATATGAATTTGAATTAATGTGTGATGATGAATTTATATATGGGCTACGATGATGTGGTGATGTTGATTGAAACTTTAATAAATGAGTCATATCAACCTGACCCTTTTTGCCTCTTTTATTTTCTAAACCACCACTGTTAGTTTGCGGGGTTTGTGTACTATTGTTATTGTTTGATAAATTTATTGGTGCTGTATTTGTTGTTGTGGTAGTTGTAGTATTAGTAGTAGTACTGGTAGTATTGGTAGATGATGTATTATTTCTCTTTTGTTGTTCCTCATATTCAGCTTTACTAATTTCAAAAGCTAATAAGAGCTCTGGGTCTTCATCTTCATTATAATGATTTCTATTTACTCTATTTCTATTATTATTGTTATTATTATTATTATTATTATTATGTCTGTATCTGTTATTTCTATTATTACTATTACTATTGCTGCTATTGTTGTTATTATTTCTATTGTTTTTTTGTGGTAATACTGAAGTATTATCAATTTTTAATTGTTCTCCCGAACCTATTATATTCTGATTTTCCATCTTGGGTTTAAAAAAAAAAAAAAAAAAAATTATTTTATGAATGTGTATATTGTTTGAATGAAAAAAAAATTTAAAAAAAAAAAAAAGGTTATTAGATTTGTTATGGTTGTAAGTTATTGAATTATAATTTAATTAAAATTAATTTTATAACAATTTTTTTGGTTTTTTAAAAAAAAAAAAAATAAAGAAAAAAAAAAAAATTTATTTTAAAATTATATTTTTTTTATTTTTTTTTTATTATTTTTTTGTGTATATATTAAAATAGGAAATTTATAATAAACCTTTTTTTGATAAAACAAAAAATACATGGAATTGATATAATATAAAATATAAAATATAAAATATAAAATATAAAATATAAAATATAAAATATAAAATATAAAATAAAATATAAATTATAAAATATAAATATAAAATAAAATAAAAATAATATTGCAATGATTTTTTTTAAACATAACTTTGTGGTATTGTTAAAATTAACCTTTTTTTTTCAATTTGGCTTTTTTTTTTTTTTTTTTTGTTTTTTACCAATTGCACCGTATCCATCGAAAGGTGATACTGTTTCACTGCCTATCTATCTATGGATATAAAACGATATTTGGTACACACCATTCTAAATATACATCACAAAAATTCAAATAATTTAAATTCGGGTTTATTTTATTTTTTTTAAAAATAATTTTTCTTTAAAAAAAAAAAAAATAAAAAAATAAAAATGATAATAAAATAAAACTTAGATTATATTTATTCAATTATTTAAATTTTAAAAATTTCTTTCAAATAATAATTTTTTTATTTTTTTTTTTATTTTTTTTATTATTTTTTTTTTTAAAAAAAAAATTTTTATTTTTTTTTTTAAAATTTTTTTTTTTATTGTATTTTACCTATAATTAAAAAGTAATAATCCACATTGTTTTAAAATAACAACAACTCCTCTATAAAAACCCCAATCACCTTTATTGTATTTATAAATATATATAATAGTATAAAGTTTTTAGATTTTTTTTTTATTTTTTTTATTTCTATTTTTACTTGTTTCTTTTTTTTTTTTTTTTATTCTTTTTTTTTTTTTTTTTCATTCCTTTTTTTTTCAATAAATAAAACCAAATAACAAACCATTTAACCATCACAATAAATCAAATAATATATTTTGTTATTATAAAATAAATAGTAATATAAATCATTATAAAATAAATAATTCATCAACAGAAACCCAAAGTTATTTTTTTTCTCTCTAAATCAAAAAATATCTTTTTTTTTTTTTTTTCTTTTTTTTTTTAATTTTTTTTTTTTTTCAAAATTTTTTTAAAATTTTTTTTTTTTTTTTTTCCGAAATTTTTTTTTTTAAAATTAAACTGGATTTGGAAATAACCAAGGGGTTTTTTTTTCCTAAAAAAAATTATCTACCAAATTTAAATCCAACTTTTTGGTTAAGGAAAAAAAAAAAAAAAAAACTTGGCCCAAGTGCTCTTAAAAAAAATATTACCACTTTTTTAAAATACCAATAAATTTTTTTAAGGGTTTTTCCCCCCCCCCTAAACCCAATACCACCCCTCACCTTACCCCCCCTAAAAGATATTT